ATTTAAATAATGTATTTGTGAGATCTAATAAAGAATTAAATCCACACCACTATATAGACCTTTATCTGGAACTGAATGTCTCCATATTGACATCCTGTCGATCATTATCTTAACTTCTGCCCTTTTCTGTCATTGTGAGGTCAATTGCTAATTCATTAATATACATTGAAATAAAATTGACCATCAAATTAAAAATTGTAATACGTGTTATAGAAGGATTTTCAATTTTTTATTCAATGTATGTGTAATTTCCACAAAAAATGTAAATACTGAATTTTACCTTTTGGTCATTTTGCCCTGGTTCATCATTTTGATGCTCTGCTTTGTTGGAAATGGCAATTGCTGCAATTTCTGTGAAGATTCTGCCAGTATTCATATGGCAAACACCAGATACTAATAAACGGAGTGTTAGTGCAAATAATTTCTACTTACATTAGCCCCAGATATATAAACATAATAAAGATATACTTTGGTTAAGGGATTTGGCTGAAAAATATCTAAGGTGACAAAGCACAACAACTATGAAAGGGCAGGCACAAATATATACCTACTGTTTGGTAAACATACCACACATTTGCAACTTTTTAACTTTTTCAAAGAAAGTTAATGGAAAACAAGAAATATTAGGTCAGTTTAGGACAGGCCTTTCCTGTGATTTGAGTGTCTCTTGGGAGCCAATGCTTTTTATTCTTAATAACCATCAATAAAAGGGAAGAGGATGAAATATTTTTTTATAACACACCTACCATCAGTCCTTACAAAAACAATACAATTTATTTGGCAAACTTCAGGGGAGGGCTAGTGCCACTCTATCTGTTCCTATGGACCAGCCTAGACTATGTGTAGCACATCTACAGAGACCTTATATCCCTTTAAGCATATCATGTATGCCATTAAATGGGATATTTTACTGAAACCATAAGGCCATTTAGCAAATATGCTCTGGCTAGAACACTTACAGACTGGCATCACAGTAAAGTTATGCCCCTTAGTAAATAACAGTTTTGGCATTCGTTTGCGGTGAGCCAAAAATCGCATGTCTGGCTTTTGAAAATCGAATATGTTTTATTACATATTTATTTTAGTACCTGTGATACCAGCTAGAAGCATGTATGTTCCAAGTTTAACTTTGTAATGTGCCTGTTACTTTGGAGTTTTGTATGTAGTTTAACAGTCATATTTAATTTGCTATATTTGCCACCATATTGGTCTATTTTCACCTTTATTTGTGTACATATCTTAGGAGGATTCAATCCAACGTAATATACAAATTTAACTATGTGGGGAAACCGCTCAGGCACCGATGGTAGTGGTGGTGTGGAGACAGGCTCAGGCACCGAGGGTAGTGGTGGTGTGGAGACAGGCTCAGGCACCGAGGGTAGTGGTGGTGTGGAGACAGGCTCAGGCATAGAAGGTAGTGGTGGTGTGGAGACAGGCTCAGGCATAGAAGGTAGTGGTGGTGTGGAGACAGGCTCAGGCATAGAAGGTAGTGGTGGTGTGGAGACAGGCTCAGGCATAGAAGGTAGTGGTGGTGTGGAGACAGGCTCAGGCACAGAAGGTAGTGGTGGTGTGGAGACAGGCTCAGGCACAGAAGGTAGTGGTGGTGTGGAGACAGGCTCAGGCACAGAAGGTAGTGGTGGTGTGGAGACAGGCTCAGGCATAGAAGGTAGTGGTGGTGTGGAGACAGGCTCAGGCACAGAAGGTAGTGGTGTTGTGGAGACAGGCTCAGGCATAGAAGGTAGTGGTGGTGTGGAGACAGGCTCAGGCACAGAAGGTAGTGGTGTTGTGGAGACAGGTTCAGGCACAGAAGGTAGTGGTGTTGTGGAGACAGGTTCAGGCACAGAAGGTAGTGGTGTTGTGGAGACAGGTTCAGGCACAGAAGGTAGTGGTGTTGTGGAGACAGGTTCAGGCACAGAAGGTAGGGGTGTTGTGGAGACAGGTTCAGGCACAGAAGGTAGTGGTGTTGTGGAGACAGATTACTGCACAGAGTGTATTGGTATTATGGAGACAGGCTTGGAGACTATGGTGAGGTGTAATAGAAAGCAGTTGTTGATGGGGGATTCTATCATAAGAGGTGTGGAGATGGACAGTAGTGGTCTTGTGAGATGTCTTCCCGGAGCTACTGCTCTCAGAGACAGGAGACGTATTTGTAATATTGTTAAGCGAGCAAAGCAGGAAAAGGAATTGGATGTACTTGTCCATCTAGGGACAAATGACTTGGCTTGCAATGATGTTTCAGAAGTAAAGGAAGTTTTTAGTGTTTTTGCCAATGATATAGGGCAGGTTGCTTCCACAGTGTCATTCTCTGAAATTCTGCCTGTGCATAACACTCAGAACGACAGGCGGATGCGTTTTAGGGACTTTAACTTGTGGTTTGGTGAATGGTGTTGGGAGAAAGGATTTGCTTCATTTCTTTGGTATCAGATATTACTGTAGGTGAAAGTTAGGGATCCAGTGATCAGTCAGTCAGTGTGGCTTAATATAAGAACAGTGACTGAGTAACACCACACCCAAAAAAAAAAAAAAGGTTTTAGACTTTAGAAAAACAGACTTTTCTAAAATTAGAATATGAGTAAAGGTGTCATAGAAACATAGAATGTGACGGCAGATAAGAACCAGTCGGCCCATCTAGTCTGCCCAATTTTTAAAAATACTTTCATTAGTCCCTGGCCTTATCTTATAGTTAGGATAGCCTTGTGCCTATCCCACGCATGCTTAAACTCCTTCACTGAGTTAACCTCTACCACTTCAGCTGGAAGGCTATTCCATGCATCCACTACCCTCTCAGTAAAGCAGTACTTCCGGATATTATTTTAAAACCTTTGCCCCTCTAATTTAAGACTATGTCCTCTTGTTGTGGTAGTTTTTCTTCTTTTCAATGTAGTCTCCTCCTTTACTGTGTTGATTCCCTTTATGTATTTAAATGTTTCTATCATATCCTCCCTGTCTCATCTTTCCTCCAAGCTATACATATTAAGATCCTTTAAAGGATCACTATTGTCAACATATAAAAGCAAGAAAGACTGGTCCCCCAGCCTTCTTTCTTGCTTTTATTTGAACTTGCCATTAAACAAATAGAAAAATCCGAGCACTTTTTAATAACATAACTTACCTCCGTTCCAGCGCTGAGCTCCCCGCTAGACCACGCCCCCTTTTCCGTCAAAACGAAGAAATCGCAGGGCCCAATAGGACTCGCTACCTGATTATCTGATCTGCTGTTGCTGGGAGTGCCTTATGAATCACTGAGAGTGAGAGCGTTTTGGATATTGTGGACACTTCACGATCCCTGTTGGGGGTTTGTCTTCCCACACCGCAGGCTTTTTTGAAGATACCGGCCGCGGTGTAATAGTTCACCTTTTGCAGACGGAGTATCACCAGTTTCTGCAGGGAGTATGCTTTCATCACACCGCGGTCTTTTTTGAAGATCTCGACCGCGGTGCAACGGTCAATTACCCAGGGGGTCTGCTGTCCGCAACTGTTCATCGCTCCATCTATTTCATCATATCCTCTCAAGGCTTTTATCACACCGAGGAAAGGTATTTTTTGTACAAATTTATTGATTTGTCTTTCATCTTTAGTTATATTGTGGGCATATTGACCCTTAGACACTTCGTTTTATACATTGTATCTGGGGGTGGTCTCATCTGCCTACTTTTGTATCCATATTTGTACGGCTGTATTTGCCTTTCTTAGGATCACTTTCTGTCAATCAGCATTAGATTAGTGTGGCCATGATTTTTATTTTTTTTAATATATATATGTCTTATTTTAATAAATTAAATGTATATATTTGCATCTCATAGATTTTCCTTATTTTATCACATTGACGAGCGCACATACCTTCCGGGAGATCATGTCAAACTAATCTTCATTTTTTTGATTGGGTAACTAAAATAATAGACCAGGGTGGTGCAGTAGACATTGCTTACCTAGATTTCAGTAAGGCTTTTGACACTGTTGCACATAGAAGGCTTATCAATAAACTGCAATTTTTAAGTTTGGATTCTAATATTGTTGAATGGGTAAGGCAGTGGCTGAGTGACAGGCAACAGAGGGTTGTAGTCAATGGAGTATATTCGAAGCTTGGCTTGTCACCAGTGGGGTACCTCAGGGATCTGTACTTGGACCCATTCTCTTTAATATTTTTATTAGTGATATTGCAGAAGGTCTTGATAGTAAGGTATGTCTTTTTGCTGATGATACCAAGATATGTAACAGGGTTGATGTTCCAGGAGGGATAAGCCAAATGACAAATGATTTAGGTAAACTAGAAAAATGGTCAGAATTGTGGCAACTGACATTTAATGTGCATAAGTGCAAGATAATGCATCTTGGATGTAAAAACCCAAGGGCAGAGTACAGAATATTTGATAGAGTCCTAACCTCAACATATGAGGAAAGGGATTTAGAGGTGATTATTTCTGATGACTTAAAGGTAGGCAGACAATGTAATAGAGCAGCAGGAAATGCTAGCAGAATGCTTGGTTGTATAGGGAGAGGTATTAGCAGTAGAAAGAGGGAAGTGCTCATGCCATTGTACAGAACACTGGTGAGACCTCACTTGGAGTATTGTACGCAGTACTGGAGACCGTATCTTCAGAAGGATATTGATACTTTAGAAAGAGTTCAGAGAAGGGCTACTAAACTGGTTCATGGGTTGCAGGATAAAAACTTACAAGGAAAGGTTAAAGAATCTTAACATGTATAGCTTGGAGGAAAGACGAGACAGGGGGGATATGATAGAAACATTTAAATATATAAAGGGAATCAACAAAGTAAAGGATGAGACTACATTGAAAAGTAGAAAAACAACAAGAGGACAGTCTTAAATTAGAGGGGTAACGATTTAAAATAATATCAGGAAGTATTACTTTACTGATAGGGTAGTGGATGCATGGAATAGCCTTCCAGTTGAAGTGGTAGAGGTTAACACAGAAAAGGAGTTTAGGAGATAAAGCAAGGGACTAATGAAAGTATTTGAAAATTGGGCAGACTAGATGGGCCGAATGGTTCTTATCTGCCGTCACATTCTATGTTTCTATGTTACTCGTCTGTGGCATCAGGATTTAAGAGATAATTTGCTTTAGGTCCTCATAGAAACATAGAATGTGACGGCAGATAAGAACCATTCTGCCCATTTAGTCTGCCAAATTTTCTAAATACTTTCATTAGTCCCTGGTTTTATCTTATAGTTAGGATAGCCTTGTGCCTATCCCACGCATGCTTAAACTCCTTTACTGTGTTAACCTCTACCACTTCAGCTGGAAGGCTATTCCATGCATCCACTACTTTCTCAGTAAAGTAATACTTCCGGATATTATTTTTAAACCTTTGCCCCTCTAATTTAAGACTATGTCCTCTTGTAGTGGTAGTTTTTCTTCTTTTCAAAGTAGTCTCATCCCTTACTGTGTTGATTCCCTTTATGCATTTAAATGTTTCTATCATATCCCCCCTGTCTCACCTTTCCTCCAAGCTATACATGTTAAGTTTTCTTTAACCTTTCCTGGTAAGTTTTTTTATAATGTACCATAGATCCTTTAATCTTTTCTTGTAAGTTTTATCATGCACCATAGATACAATTTTCACCATACAGAAGTATGTGCGGCAGAAATTCTGCAGCTAACTTTTTACAGACTTCAGATAGTGTAACAATAGGCAGATGTTTCAGCAGAGTTTCTTCTGCCACGTGACTTGAAAGGCAACCAATCACAGCTCTCTCACAGCCAAGTATCACTTTTTTCAGTTTGAGAGAGCCAGTCAGGTCTCTCTTATGACATGTCAGGATTTCAAAGACCTTAACATATATTTCTTGTTATTATTTTCAATACTTTTAGTACTTTTAGCAAAAAAAAAAAAAAAAGAAGGAGTGACACCTTACACCACTCATGGTGTCAGGATTACAGAATGATCCAGCACGTAGAATTGTGTAACACAGAGGACTGATAGGGAACGTATACCGGACCTTAAAATGGCCGGACTAACGTACCAAAGAATAGTCAGGAATAGCCAAGGTCAAGGGATACAGAAAGAGACACAATTATAAGGAAAAGCCAGGAGTCAGGGATGCCAGAAAACAGGGAAGTCAAAAACAATGCCAAAGTCGAATAACCAAAATCAATAACACACTCTCGGACAACCTCAACAGGGCACTGAGCAGGATGAGAACTGGGGCTAAATACCCCTCCTCTAGATCTGACCCCAAAGGCAGTTACCAGGTTCCCATTTGCATAATTGCTGCTCAGCATTAACCCTTCTGTGGATTTGGTTGCTGCTCGGCACAACTTTTCATGTGTGGACAGCAAATGCCGTTAACCACATTTTTATAAGTGGATGAATACGTGACACATGGAGACCTCCTGACCACTTTTGCACGAGGCACTAAGGAAACCCAGTGATGTTATTCGTATTTTGAGGGACACAAGTCCACAAAAATATTTTCCATCCCATCCATTTAACTTAGAATGAGGGGGCTTTTAACTCCCCCCCCCCCCTCTTCTGCCAATTTCAAAGTGAACCATTGTTCTTTGTTTACAGAACAAGTTATTAGTCAATCATCAGTTATGATAATTGTTAGATATTATAGCTGTACTGACCTTAGTTAGAAGCAAGCAAAAACATAGCTAAATTAAGCTTTAAGGGCAAATTATATTTTAAAAAGTACAAATTTAAACTAGTGTGCATAACAAAAATAATCCAGGACAACTGTAGGGAAAAATCTAAACTTTTTACTGAAAGGCTTTAGATGTTAACAGAAAAGTCCTTCCTTCTCACTTTCATGAGGTGTCAACACTTTTTGAGCCTCTGGGTTACACCCTTGTGGCTATGAGACAGCCTGGAGGGAGGCTCTTCCTCACTTCCCTTGACCTTTAGCTAAGGCTGAAGTAAAAAGTGTTCTCAAAGAGAAATACTGGTTTCAATGTGGTTTCTTTATGAGAAGCCTTGACAGCTCAGTATAGCAATTGCCGCATATATGCCCTTCCTCCCAAAGATCTTTTATGAGAAGCAATGTATTAGTTGGGTGATCAGTCATGATTGTAAACCAAACATTAGATTGTACTGAATAAGGTATGCTCATTTGGTGCAAATCATGGAATTTTCCTTGGATTTATCTTTACTAAATATCGGAGTCCCATGAACCACAAATTGAGTGACAGTACAGTGAAATCCACAGCCTTTTGCTAATCCAGACTGTATTCAGACATTGAAATACCTTTGTATGTGCAATTTATGTCTAATTGCCGTTTAATGTCTTAAAGACACACTCCAGACACTTTAGCTCACTGAAAAGGTTTATATGTGAAGAGAGTGTCCTTTTTTTTTTGCAAAAAATATGCAAATCTCAATAGAAATTAGCACTTTTAAAAATTAACCTGGTTGCACCAGCTTGGCTTTCAAGCAGACAGCAGGTACAATTACTTTCTGGTTGTTTAGCTCAGTGGAGCTCAACTCAAGAGGCAGCAATTGCTCAGAGCACCTGCCTTGCAAAGATTTCTCATTGAACTCAATTGGGAAGTCCAGGTTTCCACAGCCACAGAAAGTGTGGCCGGGGTTAGAAATGGAGGGCTTGCAAAGGCAGCAGATGAAAGATCTGCAGTTTTTTCACTGTTTTTATATACACATATATACATACATATATACACACACCCCCCCAATGAAAAAAGAAAAAAGAAAAATGCATGTATGTTTTCATTTGGGGTATATCTACTAAACAGTGATTTTATTTATTTTGTACTTGGGCAGTGGAGTGTCCCTTTACATCCTATATGTACTCTGTGTATGCACTGTTATATATGTCCTTTATGGTCAACTAGTTATATATGTACTGGATACGTGTAATTTATAGTCAACTTTTTTTGAACAGTGATTTTTAACATACTTCCAGGATACTGTCTACAAATAATCGAATCTGTTTCAAGCACCTAGTTGCATAGTTCCATGTGCATGCATGTCAGATCTATTTGGGATTCTGGATCTTATTCCTTACAATGTAAAACATATATTTCTCGCTTTCTCCGTCTCTCTCTTGGTTACCTGGATATTGTAACCACAATTCGCAAATTATTTATTTCCCCTTTGCCTTGCTGACTCCACAGAGCAGCTCCTTTGAAACAGATACATAAAGGGCTGCAACACACAGGACTACATGTTGCTTTGCACGTGAAATCAATTTAAAATACTTTGTAGCCGCAGCTGAAACACCCCTGACATTTTTTTGGCAGCTGATATTCAGTGAGGAAAAATACTTTTGCAACCAAGTAGCATCATATGGGTCATTTCAAATACCACAGCAATTAACGTGTTCTTTGAAGTAATGTAAGCAAACACAGCATTTAACCATGAAGTGCCCTACAAATACAATTACATCTCTATCGGAGCAGATACCTACTGGACACTCACATATAGCTCTTTATAGGATATCTACTTACTTGTCCATGCCAAGGTCTTTATAATGTGTGAGAAAGAGTCCCTGCAGGTCGTTACTCAAGAATCCCTGGTAGTCCAACTCCAGTGTATATAAGCCACCAGCCACCAGTGGACCTTCCAGCTCCAGAACCAGATATTGGTGGACTTCAGACACCCACAGGTCCTTAATGCCTATCCTCTCCACGGGTGATGGTAAGGTGTCATCTGTCCTTAGTATATGTTTGTATAATGGGTCCTGTCCCCAGTCTCTTTCCACCACAAGGTCCATGTCTTCTCCTTTCTTCTGGACCTTCAGCTCTGCTCTAGAGATGTTCAGCAGGTAGCTGTGCAGCAGGACAATGTCTGTCTTCTCCACACACTGTATGGTGATGTTTACCTGTCCCAAGAGCAAGTAGTTATCATCAGAGTCAGGGAGCATCCTTGGCCACAGCTCCAGGTCATAGTGCAGGGGAACCAAGTTTTTGGGCAGGCGCAGATTGTCCCAGATGCCTGGGCGCCCAGTGGTGTCTGGAGTAGGAGTCATTGAGGAAGAGGGAGTCGAGGTTAAAGGCAGACTGACTGAGTTACTGTGTATCTCTGAGTGAACTTCCTCAGGATCAGGTGCCTTAGTCCTGGCATAGAGGGCTGCAAGTATAATGAGTGCCAGGAACAGGACTGCCAGTAACAGTGCCAGCAGGGCAGCTGAGGTCTTGCTAAGGTAGAAGCCAGAGGAGGTTTTGGGTCCCATGGTGTTACTGTAGGTCAGTGACACTAGCCCTTCTCCTGTTGCTGCTAGTGCTGTTTGTGGGTTTCTGAAGATATGTCCTCGTCTCCCTTGTCTAAGTGAGAGCTGGGTGTGTCAGAGGGTGTAGCAGAGGAGGGTGCAGGGGAATGGTCACTCATGTTTTTGATTTGGGAGGAAGATATAGGAGAGATGAGAGGGAGGTGAACTGGTTTAATGATGGGGAGAGAAAGAATGAGATATCTGCACAGCTCTGGATCTAGTGAAGACCAAAGAATTGAAGGAGAAAGAGTTATTTTATTAGTAGGGGTTAAAGCATCAGGATGAGGAAATGAAATTTCCCTCGATCTACTGCTGTAAGTATACACGAAACGGTGCTGACCAAAGAAAGGTCAACTATTATAAGAAGTGAGCATAAACAGGACAAAAAAAACAAAACAATAATAGTTGTGGTTGCACATGGTTAGAGGGGGAGTTAAAAAAAAAAAAAAACAACAGTCTGTTCCTCTTTATTCTCTATTAATATCTGAAAGATCAAATGGAAGAATGCCTTTCACTTTTGCTTTTAATATACCTAACTCTGTTCCTTTTCTATCTCAAGGAAATCTATCTCAAATATCAGACACTTTGGCTTGTATGTATTATTAAAGGGACACTCCACTGCCCCAACCCCTCCCCACAAAAAATTAAAAACACTGTTTAGTAGATATACTGCAAATTAAACCATGCATACAGGACATTATGCATTTCTTAAATTAAAGTATAGCTAAAAACAGCTTGCAAAATCTCCAGATCTCTTGTCTGATTCCTTTGCAAGACCTCCCATTCTAACCCCGCCCAGACTTTCTGTGGCTATCCAATCACAGACCTCCCATGGCAACTCAACAATAATTCTTTGCAAGCAGGTGTTTTGAGTAGTTTATATAATATCTATTTAATAAATATATAATACATAAATATAGCTTGTTTACTGCTACTCCTGTTTTTTTT